TTCGGCACGCACGTACACGTGCCTGGCATGAGTTTAAGCCACTGGGTCCGGGACTCGAACCATGGTAGACTAGATGGGAGTCCAGTGACATAGCCATTACACCAACTGCTGGTCCCAGGAGATTCTTATTTATAAAGAAGAAACTAAGTCTCCAGAAAGCTAGATGACTTGACCAAGCTTTATAGCAGATAAAACAAAAACACAGGTTTGAAACTATGTTTTTGCTTCCTAATCCAGAGCTTTTTATTATATCCGACTCACTGCTCTTTGAAGTGTGACAGCTGCTTTGTACTCTGTGAGAGATGGTCTCTGTTGGCGAAAATTTTTCCTTTCCCTGTACCCTCTCCAATGTTTCTGGATAATCAATGCTGATTTCTCTTCCATTTCCCGATTGTGTTTCTCGACCTGACCTAAAAAGATGACAGACGCCATTATAACATACTCAATGTTATGGTTTCTCTTGTTCTGAAATTGGGAAAATGGTAATAATGATCTTGTAGTCCTTTAATTTTTTTCAATATTTCACTAATTTTCCCAATTACATTATTTTACACTGGTTTTAGGGTTTCAGAAATAAACTTTCCAGGTTATGCAGCTTCTCTAGAGAAAGAACTGAGGTAATATTTTTGTGACAGGGTGAAGTGACAAAGGCTGAAAAACCAGCAGCAAAAACATTTTGAAAAAATACTGAAGGAGGCCAAATGGTGGCACAATGACAACACAATGGTCTGTGGTGCTGGCCCTACTTGAGAAGGGCCCAGGTTCACATTCTGAGGCCTCCCTGTCTTGTGGGTGAGTACAGAGGTGCCAGTGATTTGGGCTGGCTACCTCTGGTTGTAGCATGAAGACCCTGCTGGAGATGCCTGTCTCTCACCCTCATAGAATAAACAAATGTTAAAAAAATTAGGAGTACATGGTTAGGATGACTATTCAGATCACCAGAAGGAAAGGGCAAAATGTGTACAAGTGTTATTTACTCTCTGTGCTTCCAAATTTCTCTTTGGTCACTCAATCGCCTATAGAGGTTACTCTCCCTTTACTTTGAGGAGGTGACTGGCATATAGCCAGGGTTCACAGTAGATCAGTGATATAATAAGGCAGTAGAAAGTGGAAGCAGTGGTTAAAAAAAAGAAGGGGTATATTTGAGACAGAACATAAAAAACTGATAGGATTTAATGACCGACTGGATGTGGAAGTAAGAGAGAGAAAGAACTGAGTAGATTTTTGGTACTAAGACATACTGGAAGAGGAAAGTAGGGAGTGGGGAAGGGGGCAAGAAAATTATTTTAGCTTTTGGGATGCTTGTGATTATCTAAGTAAAGCTACCCAATAGGCAGCTAGCTACAGAACTGTGCTGTCCAATACAGCAGACTCTAGCCACAAGTGGCTTTTAGATTTAAATCAAGTAAAATGTCAAAATTCAGGTCTTCCATACATTAGCTACATTTCAAATACTCAGTGGGTACTGCTTGCCATTGGATATCATAGTAGACAACGTAGATGTAGAACATGTGGTTTAATTGAAAGTTCTACTGGGGGCCAGCAGATGGCACAGTGGTTAAGGTGCTTAACTCTTACATGGCCAACACAATCTAAGCCCCTGACCCAGCAGCTTGAAAATCATGCTGAGTACGTGTGCATACATGCCCATAATCCCAACAGAGAAGGAATTGCAGCATGGCCATCTTACCTTCCCTCTGTCTGTCTCTGCCTCTCTGGTGAGCACACAAGCCCTATGAAAAAAAACTAAAAAAAAAAATAATAAGTTCTCTCGGGCAGTGCTATTCTACACAGGGATTATGAGAGAGTGAGGATGGAGATCAGATTTGAGAGTGCTTAGCACTTAGCTAAGCATGCGGCTGATAGATGAAGCTATAGTTACGAATGGGATATCCTAGGAAAAGTAACATGAAAATAGTGGGGTGAGAATGAAACCCTGGAAAACATCTACAGTTAAGGCAAAGGAAGAGAAATAAGGGACTAGTGAAGGATCCTGGAAATCAGCAATAAGAAAGGAAGTAAAGGAATGAGAAAATAATCTTGGAGCCACTCAGATCTCCCAGATCATACTTTTTTTATTAATTTTACCTTAATCTGTCAAGAGTGGCAAGAAGATGTCACAGAGTTATTTCTATGGAATGAGTGAAGTTCTCATGGCAGAATGGAACAATATTCTAACTCCTTATGTAAGTTCAAGGGCTTTCATTATATCTGACGACTATCTTTAAACATTAACTTTTACATTTCACTACATTATTCTGAAAGATAAGAAAAAAAAAAAACTGGTGGAGATTCCTCACCATCAAGGAATAAGTTTGAATTAGAAAAAAAACAGTCACTTTTAGACTTTTTTGATAAACTAAGTTTATCTGAAAAATGGAGAAACAAGGCACAGGTCCAAATTAGAAAAAAGAAACCATGAGGTAGCTAGGAAATTTGGTTCATTAAAAGATAATCTAAATATTCTTAGAGTAATAAAGTTGACACCACCCACCTGGATGAACTATTTCAAGCATACTCAGCTGTAATTCTCGGGAAAGTCTCATGGCTCTCTGTCTTTGAAGATGCAAATGTAATCTGAGGTCCTCTTCTTCCTTTTGCCTATTTAGCTTCAGCAGTAACTTTGCTTGTTTAGCTCTGTGACAAAAACAGTAAGTGACTTCTACATAATTTTCATAAATCATGTCCATTCAAGAAATATATAAAATAATGCTTAACTTCACTCGTAATCAAAGAAATGCAGACAGAAAAAAAGTTAAAAGCATTCCTAGTGTTGTTAGGATTTGATGAAATAAGTTGTCATGTGCCACTACTGTACAACCTTTCTGGAGAAATATATGCATATAGGTATCAGAAATCTGGAGAAATACTTGAAGTATGTATCAAAAGCCTTAAAATACTGACCAATTAATTCCATTTATAATCATTTTCTTAGGAAAGAATCATATGTGAAGATTTACGCTCAGCTACAATGATACACCCTGCTAAGATGTACAGGAGGCCTGTTTCATTTTTGGTCCAAGCTAAAGGCTGGTTGTGGTGGCACGTGCCAGGAATCCCAGTGACTGAGGAGGCTGAAGCAGGAAGGCTGCAAACTTGAGGCTGGGCAATATAAAGGGATCCTTTCTCAAGGAGCTGAGCATGGTGCTGCGTACCTGTGGTCATAGCTACTCAGAAGACTGAGGCCAGAGGACCATGACCAGTGAGACAGTCTTTAAAAAATTAATGTTCAAGGATGTTCTTCAGTTTTACAACAGGAGTAAGATGAAAATAAACTATGTGCCCCACAACAGGGAGTTGGACAAATACTGGTTTTCACTTAATGGGATTCTATAAACTATGAAAAAACAGAATTTTCCAAGAATCTGCAGTGAAATGGGACTATATCCACAACCTAATGTCAGGTAAAAACAAAATCTGGATATAGAAGAGTGAGATCCACAATGTACTTAAACATTTACATTTACTTACATAGAAAAATAACTAAAAGCATTAATATTTTAATAGTGATTTTTATAGCATTTTGTGGTAAGGGTCACACTGAAATCCTTTTTCCTCTCATTCTCCATCTCATTATAGTCCAAAGTATCAGGAACTCTCCAGGAATTCCTCTAACTTAGAATAAGAAGCATGAATTTGAGGAGTCCCATATGCACTGATGGGCAAAGCGAATGCTTGGCTCTGCTCATTAACTCAACACTCATCTGAGTGTTCGCCGCCTACTTGGTACTGTGTCTCAGGAAGGCAGCTGAAAGATACCATGTTGCGCTTATGGAGCTCAGTTTCAAGAGGAAATCAAACGAATATAATAAAATACCTTAATTTAATCACTACAGTAGAAGTAGATAAATTATAACATTTCCCCAACATAACTGGAGCAGCTATTAGCTGCTTCAGAAAACCTTCCTGAGGAAGAGCGCTAATAGAAAATAAAGTTTCTTATCATTAGAAAGGATTCAGTGAAAAAGAAACCCCTATGGAAATGCTTTAGCAATGATATGATTATAAGAGTGTGCCTTTTGCTGAATCTAAAGAAAAATGCTCATCAATAAGGACTTTTAAGTATGGTTGGTGAGCAGCTAATTTCCCCCAAAAAAGCATGAGAGGAGGAAATTACTCTGAAAAAATGACCTGACTGCAAAGAGACAAAAATACCCACTGTAGGACGCCAGGTACAAAGAAACCAAGAGACATTTGCATAAACTGTAGCAACTAACAGCAAAGGAAAGGTGCTAAAGCCTGGAGTAAAACTGAAATTAAAAAGTTAAACAGAACCTAGAAGTTAAAACTGTATCCCCGTGTGTTCTAGGATCTCAAACTCAAAATATTACAACAGAATTGAAACAAAATGTGAGACTTAAACCACTTCACAGCTTATTTTTAATGAAAATACTTAAATCTGACCTGGTTTTATTACTTGATAAAAGGAGTGGCAGGCCAGCCTTGTAGCCTAATGAAGGGAGATGGATTCCCACATGGCTGAATGCAGCTTGAATCCTGGTCCTGATAACCTGAAAAACATACTAGGTTTCTGTGTGTGCGTGCTCTAAATCCTGATGAGAAGGAGAAATGGAGAAGTGATTGCAGCATGGCCATGCTCCACTGGGCGTGGTTTCTCCCTCTCCTCCTTTGTCTGTCTATCTTTGGCAAGCACATACACACACCCTCTGGCAATTAGATAAAAAGATGATGGAAAAATGGATAGCAATGGAACTTCTATGTTAAAATAGAATATTAATTAGAATCCATAGATTTACTTATAAGTGGGTAAAATCTGTAATCCTGGGATACTTTTAAATAAAATTTTAGTACTAAAAAAAAGTAAATGGGCAAAATTAGCAACTACTGTAGGACTAAATATTAAAGGTCTGAGTTCAAGGTATGGTATCTTTAAATGAAAGAGGGCAGACAGCTGAGGATGACAGCAGGTAGACTCCATATGTAATAACTACACCGAGTACACCAGATAAAAGTATCTCAGACTCTTTCTGTATAGCACATACACTGTGATTCTCAAAGTATTCAGTATTCCCCAAATTTATTTAACCACAGAAATGCCTTCTTACTGTTTTTCTAAGAAATAGCTTTTAGGATTGGCAATTAACTTGACCAATGTTGGATGGCTGATTCTTGCCTCTCATGAGTACTATTTATTTAATGCATCTGTCTAACTAGATTTACAAATCTTCAAAAGTGATTGTCAAGCATTTTTCCCTCATACCTGTCATGAAACACACTAAAAAAAACTTTATATTGAGACCAGCTGATGGTGTAATGGTTACGTTGCTGGACTCTGATATGGCCAACTGTAGTTCAAGTCCTGGTACCAGAGGCTTGAAACTCATGCTGGGTGCATGTGTGTGCATGCTCCAAATCCCAACAAAAGAATGGAAGAGAAGGGACCAGCAGTTAGCGTAATGGCTATGTCGCTGGACCCCCCACTTAGTCGACCGCAGTTCGCGTCCCAGACCTGGTGGCTTAAAACTCACGCCAGGCGCGTGTGCGTGCGTGCCCAAGATCCTGAGAGGAGAATAGAGAAGAGGGGATTGAGGTGTGACCATGCCCTATGGCAAAAAACCTCTCCAAAAAAAGAGAATAGCTTTCATTGAAAAATAGCATGTCCAGGCCCAGCAGATGCTGTAATGGTTATGTTGATGGACTCCTACATGGTGGACCATGGTTCAAGTCCCAGTCCTGGTGGCTTAAAATTCACACCAGGTGTGTGTGTGTGTGTGTGTGTGTGTGTGTGTGTGTGTGTGCATGCCCAAGATCCCAAGAGAAGCATGAAGGAGAAGGGACTGCAGCATGGCTTGGGGGTGATTTCTCACTTTCTGTCTCTCTCTGTCTCTTTCTCTGGCACCCTTATAGAAAAAAATCTCTTTCTAAAAAAAAAAGATGTCCACTGAGGGACACAATTAGCCAGGATGACTTCAGTCTTTAATCCTGTGACAATATAGTATTTTGAACCCCAGAACTATTTTGAATTTTTTTTTTGTAACTGAGAAATGCAGCTGCAATATTAAAATAGTTTTTCTTAAAAACAGAAATTGACTTCAAACATGCCAGTTATATTTTAGTAAGCCAAAACTTGGCTTTAAGTAAAACTGCATGAAAAGTCACTTTTTAGATGGCTCTACTTTGTCATATATGACCTTGAAACTAATTTTTGTTGTTTTTCTTCTTTCTGTCACCTCTAGGAAACTGGATGAATTAATTAGTCATATCGGAAAAGTAGGCTAGATCTTCATATTCAGTCCTCTTGAAACGAAGATAAGTGACAAATCATGTGATATCGCAAAGATTACATACATGCTTGTCATAACTACTCAGAAAAATCAGGTTAAAATACTTAAACCTTTATATACTCACACATTTTTATAATAATTTACAAAGAATTATGACAACTGTTGGTTTTGACTGTTTAATAATATATCATTGGCTCCCTTTGTAGGCATGGCCCACAAAAAAACCTTATGTGGATAAGACTGTGTATCTGACACAACAGATTCTTTATACTACATTCTTCATTTTGAAAGTACATCTGGTTACAAGTGTTGGCACTCAGAAACACATGGAACAAGAATGAAAGAAAAAAAAGAAACTGAAAAAAAAAAAGCTAAGTTTCATTCGGCTGTTCTCTATTAAGAATCTCAGATCAGATCATAGTTTTCCTTATTTTTTTTTTACCTGAAACTCCTCTGCAAAGCAATTACAGCAGATGGAAGCTTCTTTAATCTCTTTCTAGTCTGGAAACCCTTCCAATAAGCTTGAATCACGCAAGCGGCCTGATGTTGGTTCTGAAATTAAATGTCACATATAATTTAGAGACATTTCTAGAAAGTCTTTTTAAAAAGTTTACCTATTGTGCTGGCCCAAGTATCCTAGTGGTTAAAAGAAGCTAGATCCTACATGGCTGACTGTGGTTCAAGTCTTGGCCCCAAGCTTGAGAAAACATACTGGGTGTGTATGTAGGTATGCCCCAAATCCTGAGAGGGTGGAAGAATGAAGGAGGAGAAAAGGAGGAGAGGCTTTGTGGTATGACCATGCCCCACTGCAAGGAGTTGGGGAGCGATGTACGGCGTGGCGTGCATTCTCCTCTTCCTCTCTCTGTCACTGGCGAGAACATGTGCTCTATGGCAACTAAAAAAAAAAGTTTACCTCTTAAAATATCAGACTAGAGCAAGTATTAATCTCTGTCTCTAACAAGATGGGTAGGAGGCAATATTAATTTTATAAACGTAGAACAGAGAAGACAGAAAAAGTACAAAACCTTAGCTCCCAAAGGTGGTATGTTAGGCTCAGTTAGGCAGTTTCTAGAATATATTCATGATATCATCTAAATAGCTCCAGTTCCTCCCTAATCTCACTTAAAATTCCCTTTCCAAAGATTTCATAGTTCTGCCTAGTCTTTTATAATCTATTTTGAGCTAACATGTTAATGTTTTTATTGAAGAGGCTTTCAATCTAGTTAGGTTTAGAGTGTAATCTCTGTTGATCTTTTGCAGATGGCTACTCAAATCTCTGTCTAGTTCTATAAGCTTTGGATATACCGTTTTGTGTCTGTTCGGTGCATATATACTGGAGATAAGTCTAAGACTTGTTAGGGTTCATACAAAGAAGTGAGGAATTCCCTTTCTTTGCTCTTTTCCTTCCAGTCCCACTGCCCCATCTTCCTGTCTAACTGGACTTCTTTTTGTGGTTCCTGCTTATACTTCTATTATCTCTTTCATTTTAGATCTTGGATACAGAATGTACTCACTTCCTCTTAAATTATAAAATATCTTTAGTTATCTTAGATTTAGTTCTGCTTATCATATTTAAAGTCTTCATTTGGAAATCAGAAAGCTATTTGCCTCTTCCTGTAGGAATAGTCTACTTGGAGCCACCATTTTGAGTATACTAGAGAAAATGATAAAATAAACATTGCTAGCTAGCCACAGGTAACCGAAAATATAGTTTGTTTTTTTTTTTTTTTTTAGTTTTGCTATAGGGTGCATGTGCTCACCAGAGACAGAAAGCAAAAAAATCATCCTGCAATCCCCATTATTCTCTCCAGACCTCAGGCATGCATGCACACGTGCCTGGAGTGAGTTTTAAGCCACTTGGTCCAGGCCCTGAACTGTATTTGGCCACATGGGAGTCCAGCGATTTAACTGCCATGTGCCATGCCACTAGCTGGCCCCTAAAAATACAATTTATTACAATTAAGAGTTAATTTTTTTTTTTTTCTTTTGGGAAAGCTGGTGACGTGGTGGTTAAGGTGGCTAGATCTCACTTGGCCAACTATGTGGTTCAACTCCCAGACCCAGCAGCGTGAAAAACACTCATGAACACATGTGTGTATGTGCCCAAAACCCCAAGAGAAGATTGAAAGAGAGGGATTCTGCCATGGTCATACCCCCTCAGGGGTACTTTCTCTCGCTTTCTATATTTCTCCAGCAAGAACACACACCCTATAGCAAATTAAAACAAACAAACAGATTTTTTTCTTTGAAGAAACAAAACCAAAAAGGGTTTCGACAGCTTATAGTCAAATGTAAACATCAGTAATGGAGATTTCATGAGAAATTCTGAAAAAAACTGATGTAGTGGTATCTATAGACAGATATAATGGGAGACTGAAATTATGTTTGTGGATAGCAGAGAGGAAAGTTTAAATATATTTCTATTTTGGGGGAAGCATTTTGCTTCAGATTTTTTATTTTTGTCTCTAGGATGTGTGCACTCACCAGAAAGAGACAAAGAGACAAAAAGTGAGAAATCAATCCCTGGGGGGGTGCCACACCATAATCCCTCTCCTCCATTCTCCTCTAGAGATCCTGGGCATGCACGTACACGAGTCTGGCATGAGTTTAAGCCACTGGGTCAGGGACTCAAACTGCTGTCTACCTACCACATGGGAGTCCAGCAACATAGCTATTACACCAACTGCTGGTCCCTTGCTTGAGATATTAAAAGAAGAAAGGGATGAATATTTAAAGAAAACTGAGATTAAATGCAGTCAACAAATATAAAGCACATTTTTTTATAATTTAATACCTGCTCTTCGACTTCTTGATAGACCTCAGGACTTAAAAGGTCAAGCAGCTGTCTAAGTTCTTGGCTAAATTCTGTCCCAGTTTCCTGTTTGTTTAGTAGACTTCTGAATCCTGAAATGGAAAAACAAAGAGAACAGCTATTAACAATAAAATATTATTTTGTTATCTCTACAGTATTAACTTGAGGTTAAAAAGTCTGGTTGAAAAACAAATGAGTGAAAGAAAAGAAAAAAAAGAAAAACAGATGAGCACAATTACAAGATTAATAACATGATTTTTCTTTTTCCTTTTCTCAAAGATTTCTTGGTTGAGGTCTTTAAGATATTCTTTAAAATAAATAAAGGGGGAAGCCACTATGTACATTTGTCCATGCCTTATATTCACTTCAAGACATGAATTCTTTGCAGTATTAATAACTAAAAAATTCCTTATTTAGGATCTGAATAAATTCTTGGTTGAGTGATAAGTCAAATAAAAGGAAAAGGATTGAAGATAAAATTCCTTTATGGGATACTTTTATCTCTATAGGAATCTAATTACAGAATTGAAATATGTACATGTGGCATGATACCAGCTGGAGTTTTATCACTAGCACTTTCTCTCCCTCTCTATTCCTATAGTAGGTTAAAAAAACTGCAATGTCCACAGTAATGACTGATGCAAGTTACGTTACCAAAGTGCCTTCCAAATCATCCACCATAAGTAAAAGACCATTCTAATTGTTTAAATATTAAATGCATCAAACTATATTCTAATCTTTCTCATATAGTATAACTCTACATTAATAGGTATATTTAATAAAGTAGAAATCCATTTCCTGACTATGTTGAATAAGAAAACATATAATTAGTGCATGGCTCTGGTCAGCAAAGAAATAAGACAGAGCTAACATATAACTTTACTTGGCAATTGAAAAACATTGATCACGTAATTCTGGGTAAAATATCTGATTTTTCCATGCCTCTGTTTCTGTATCTATAAGACAGAGATAAGATGATCTACCCCATAGGGTAGTTATAAAGACTAATTTTTTTTTTTCCATTTTGCCAGATAGTGTGTGTACTTGCTAAAGACAGAGAGAAAGTGTGAAAGCTCCCCCCCCTTCCCCCCGCCATGAGGGATGATCTTGTCACAATTCCTTCTCCACCTCTTTCAGGATTTTGGGCATGCACACACTTGCCTGGTATGTTTTTGAAGCTGCCAGGCCTACAAATCAAACTGCACAGTTGGCCATGTGGGATCCAGCTGCCTTAACCGTTACCACTGGCTGGCCCAAGACTGAATATTTTAATTCATGTAAGTATACAGAACAGTGTCTGACACATAATAAATGCTCAATTTAATAAAAGTTTTTTTTTTTAATTTCATGAGGATAGTCTTACATGAAATCCTTTCATTTTCAAAATTTCTTTTTATTTACTTATGTATTTGATTTTGGAGGTAAAACATGTATTTTGTTTTTATTTTTGAGAAAAGGCAGCGAAGGAATTAAGAATAATTATTGACTGCTATAAAGACCAAAAGACCTATTGACCTCTCAAGCACAGCTCTATTTTCTCCACTGAAGTTAGTCTTGATGAGATAATTGATTTTTTTGGTCATTATTTTACTACCATACAGACATATTTAGAATACAACCTTTTTTTCAGGGAGGGTATAAATATTTACTGTACCCATATCAACAAAGTCCCACATGCTATCTGTTGAGACATGAAGACAGCTTGATTACAGAAATACTTTTTTTCTGCATTAGTATTTGTTGTGATAGGATTTTATCTGCAGTTTGGTTATTAACTTTTCTGACCGAATTTTGTTTATAATAAACCACTAGTAATTTCTCTTGAGAACATCAATAAAACAAAAGCACTACCTTTGTAGCAGGCACTTAGTCTCAGTAAAATCAAAATTTCCTGATGGGATTCAGCCATCAACAGTAGAAGCTTTGTAGTAGTACTTCGTATGACTGGACTAGGAGTTGATAAAAGCTTGAAAACAACTTCATCTAAAATTGAATGCAAGGCTTTTCCTTCTATTCTGAGTAAATCGCCACTAAGAGAACAAAATTTTTAAAAATGACATTACTAATTGATAGACAGGTATCACAACAAATAAAGGCACAGTAATTTCATGCCTGACTATGGCCTAACCCAAGAAGTGTTTTCTTTCTTTCTTTCTTTTTTTTTTTTTGCTATAGGGTGCGTGTGCTTGCCAGAAAGATAGAAAGAGACAGAAAGCAAGAAATCACCCCCCAGGAGGACGGCCACGCAGCAAGCCCTCCTCCTCCATTCTCTTCTCAGGATCTTGGGCATGCACGCACACGTGCCCAGTTTGAGTTTAAGCCACTGGGTCCGGGAATCGGACTGCGGTCCACTAGATGGGAGTGCAGCAACATAGCCATTACGCTAACTGCTGGTCCCGAAAACCACTTTTTAACCATACAGCGTGGTTCCAAGAATATATCTCATTAACTCAATTAATATTTATTGAATCCCTACTATGTGCAAAGTACCACACTAGGTACAACAGAGAATATAAAATAGCTAAAGGCCCTCTCCTCAGAGAAGCCTGCCATCAAATTGAAGAGGAAAGATAAATGTCTGAAATTGTAAATAATAGGTGATTCAAAGCTTTAAGGCAGCTATAAGAGAAAAATCACAAGATAGTATCTGGTTAATAGCTAAATGATATAGCCTTCTTTTTGGCTGGAACCGCCATCTTCCAGTAATTAACCAAAATGACCAACACAAAGGGGAAGAGGAGAGGCACCTGATACATGATCTCTAGGTCTTTTAGA